AGTCTCAGAGTCATTGTAAGGAAAAGCTTCCAAGCAGTAAGAAGAATCTGAGAAAGGAACAACGTTGGTTCATTGCTTAAACTGTGGTTATAGAAATGGGTACACACGAAAAGCGGATAAATTCAAAAATCAAAACCTCTTAACACTGGAATTCGCTTCCTTGCTTTGCTCCCTGTGGCAATCGACCTGTTCTGGGGTTGTGCAGTGGCAGGGGGCCATCCTGGCTCTATTTTGTAGAAGTGGAAAATGTATGGTTGTACCTCAGCACGGGATTTCGGAAGATGGTGCCTGGCAGTGTGACTCTCCGTCTTGTGACGCTAGTAAGGTCTCTTACATTGCATTTCGGGATGCCCGACATCATGCTGCATGGCTGATTTACAGAAAATGAAAAACAGAATTAGTAACCAATCTTCATCTGTGTATGTCCAGGCCTTTCCAGATGTTCAGCCGTCCAGTCAGCATTACTGCACAGCTGCTATGACGTGAAACCATATGTCCAGCAGTCTCAGGGAGCTGTGGAAAATTTTTGGTCTGCCTGGGTAGAATTTTGGTCAGAGAAAGACACACGTCTAGAAAAAAAACAGGTGTGTTTTAGCCCTATCAGTGAGGACTTAACAACTGATTTAGAGAAAAGTCTGATTAGTAGGCAGTAAATAAAGCTTGATGTGACTATTGAAACAATGAGAGTAAAGCAAAAATGAATAACTGCTCATTTAATGAGTGTCATCCATCCTGTGCAAGAGTCGAGTGCCTGTGGAGAAAATGGGACGCGGTTGTGTAACTGATTGTGCCAAAACACACAGGCGTAAAAGAGACGTGTGAAGGTAGCAGAGATGCCTTTCGTTTTGGCACATGCAGAGTTGGATGTTTAATAACAAGCAATAGGAAACCCTCTGCTACAAACCCCATCTATCGGAGAGAGCATTTTTTGCATCTGGTAGCACTGTGGTGGGGTGAAGTGGGAGATGGGCTGGAGGGGAGCAGTGGTCCTGTGTTCCCACTGGTGTTGCAAGTGATGTTCCAAGTTTCGAAGAGTGTGCTAAACGGGCTGTCCCCCTTCGCCCGCCGTTCACACAGTCCCTGTATCTGCCTGTGGGTATGTTTATGTGTGTATAATGCTTTAATGTTAAAATAGAGACTGTCTTTTGGATCTCGCTCGGTTGTGCATTGCTTTAGTTCTGGGAGAAAAATTCTTTTCTGACCCCAGATAGGGATCATCTCAGCTTATGCTCCAAAGAATAGAGATTAATATCCCCTGTGACCTTTTAGCCTAGCTGCTGCAGGGTTTTTAACAAGTGGGCTTAAGACCCCATCTGTGGCAGCTATGCTGACATGAATCTCTGTAGTGTCTCTTCTTGTCAATGATCCGTGAACTAAGGAATCTCCAAGGATGTCTTGACGTGCCGTGGAGCTGTTACGGTCTAGTGCAGGAAAGAACCACGCAATGATAGAATGAAAAGCTGGTGTCACAAGTAACACGTAAGTTATTCAAGACGTACCTGACAACAGTTGTCCCTGGCTGAGCATTTACTTAAAAGATGTGGCTGTGATACAGTAGGAAGAACAAATATTTAAACAAAACCCCAAATAACAAAAAACAATCAAAAGCACTATTTATGACTTCTGTATTTCTGGTTTCTTGGATGTTTGCAATGTTGTATGGACTCTGTAATATAACGTCGAACAGATAATAAAAAATAGGTACATAACATGAAGAAGCCCCCACCTAGTTCTAGGTCCCTCTCCCTCCCCATCCCTGGCGCTGAAGAGTGGGGCTGTCCAGAAAACAATCCAGGAAGGAATTCCTTCCTAAAAATAATTTTTCCTTGATTTTGAACATACTTGTTTTGACTTGCTTTGGCTATTCTGAGCTAACGTTACCATCACTGGTGTGCGTAAAAGGTTTGTAGTTTGTTTAAACCATTTTTAGCCGGTAGTTTAAAATAGCCAGTCTTTTTGCAATAGGACCTCAAAGAACTGCCTGGGGGTTAGGGGGAGCACTGATGTAGGACTGTGGTCTACATTTGCTGTTTCAAACATGTCTCAGATAAATGGGTGATGTTATATTCACCTTCTCAAGCTGTTATTACCTGCTTTGGTGTCCAGGGTAGGTGGTAAGTAAAAATTGAAGTGCCTGAATCCAGGAGAAAGATCCAGAGGCTTTTGTCAGCCTGGCACTGGAGGCATCAACCGCTCAGTAGCTACATGGGTGTACGTCCACCAGCCTCCCTGTATGCTCCAAGTTTCAGTGCCTGTCGATGTTCAGAAGCTCTCCAGCGTGACGCGCTGGACATCAAGCTCTTGCTTATGCTCCAGTGTCACCAGCATCAGGCCCAAAGCCCCCAAAACTCTTGGCTGCTGGAGGAAATGGGAGGCTCTCATTTGGTTTCCCTCTGCAGTTTGAAGACCATGTGAATATCTCTGCCTCCTGCTTCCCAGCTCCCTGTGCTAACTACTCTTCTGAAGTGAACACGTGTTTGCGTGGCTGCTGTGCCTTGCCTCCCACCCATGGGTTGGCCCAGCTTCCACCAGAGATGAGGAGGTTGTCTCCTCCGGTGAGTGGGGCACTCTTCTGGGATTAAGGGGAGCTGGATGTGGGTGTCAGCCTGCTTAAGGCAGAAGGGAGTTAAACACACGCCTGCAGGTTGGGAATTAGCTGTAACAAACAGATGCAAGGGATTGCTAAAGTAAGTATGAGTTGTGTTTAATGTATTTGTAGGAATTGAATGCAGCAGTTCCTTAGAAATGTTTTATTTACTCTCTCTTTTTTGCTACATGTGGGGAAAACCACCAGAGATGCGAGGACCATTTTCCTTAACGGGGACAAGCTGGTTGTGTAGCAGATCCTCACCTGGATGTGTCTGAAGATGGGGCAATGGATTCTGCCCCAAGTGGTGTTTTCGTTCATTTAGAAGTTACCTCATCAGATCTGAATGGGTTGTAACCTATATTCAGTTCCTATCTTTTTATCCATTTCCAGTGCAATGCAAGTGACATCACTTTTTCCTATCAGTTATCATCTGCTGTATTTTAAAATTAAAGATCTTAATTGCCCCAGAGCTAGGGCTCTCCAGCAATGTATCCTGCCTTTCCTCAGCACCGAGAGAAAACAAAATTAGGGTCATCGCACTTTCCACCTTAGTTCTGCTCCTGCCCGGAAGTTTACAACAGCCCGTGGGAATGATCTGCAGGCTGAAACGTGGGGCACAACATAAGGACAAGTAAGCCTCAATGCGTCTTGCTGTGCTCGGTGGAGTGCCAGCTGCGGGCTAGCAGCGTGTTCTTGCCATCAAAGTCTTCAACCACGTGGAAGCAGTGTGGCTTGTGGGCTTAAGTGAGGGTAGCAGGCTCCCATGGCTTAGTTGCAGGGAGCAGGGGTGAAGAGGTGATGGAGCAGACCTGGTGTGCAGCTGCAGGCAGCAGTAAGGACCATCAGTCTGGCAGTGCTGAGAGGCAGAGCGTGTGTTTGCTACTGGCAGCGTTCAGGGAGGGCAGACTGAAGGTCATGTGGATATGTGTTTAACTTATTGTCAGAGGTTTGAATTTTGCTAAGCACGAGGGAATACAAAGGCAGAAGATACATCCTCCTTAATGCCATCTTGATCTTGTCTCGTCTGTTCTATAAAAACTACGAACATTTTTATAACCCACTAGGATGTAAAAGGTTGTTTCTCCCTGTTCTGGCTTCTCTCTGCTACCACCTGCTCCTACTGCACGCATCCTCGTGTCGCGGGGTGTCTTCAGCTGTGCAGCCTGAACTGTGTGCTGCGCCTGGCCCCCCTCCCTGCTCGCTCCCTGTCTGGCTGTATCCCTCCTTCCCAGTTTCTCCTCCACCACCTTGGTCTTGCCAAACCCTCAATGCAGCTAGTGGATGACCCTCCGGAGCCAGCCTCCTCCCCCTCGGTCAATGCAACTCTCTGCATTGCGTGGCTGTGAATCGTAATTTTTTATTTTTGATTTCCAGAGGTTTATATCTCGGTGAATGCCAGGGACGCCACCCATCCTGAGTCAGAGGACAAGGGAAAGGGACTGATGCTCTTTTTGTGTGGTAAGGACCTAGACTTTGGGTCATGTGGGATTTAGATAAAGAGGCAGGCACGGCTTCGATCTTGAACCTTAAATACAAAACTAGCTGTACAACATAGCCTACTTTTGAATGTGCGATTTAATATTACTTTCTTGAATGGTTACTGGGAAAAGTTGGACTATGAGTTTGCCTTGAAGTCATGGTGCAATTTACTACTTGTATAGAAAAGTTAGTAAAATCTGTAAATCTTAAATTGTTTTGAGGACTAGGGGAAGGTTGTACTTTGGGAGTCACTGTTTTAAGAAATCTTCAATTTGGATTGCTAACTCTGCCATGAATCCCAAAGTGACATGTTAAATTGAATGAAAAAATCCAAGTCAGCACGTGGATGTTGGAGTACTTTGAAAGAATATTTCAACAGAATGAGGCTCTCAACTTTGTCTGTAGTAGAGCTGTCATTCAACCATACCGTAATCTCATTAGGGTGTGGGCTCTTGCAAGTGCTAAGTGCAGACTTCGCTGATGCTGGATGGCACATTTAGGCACGTATGTAATACAACAGTATAAAAAGCAATTTAATGCCTCGTGTGGTTTGTGATTCATGGGTTGGTGGCTGCTAATACATTGTGGTGATCTACAGATTAAACTTTGGCTTGCTACATTCAGTGTGGGCAGGGCATTTAATTGACTTGCATTAATTTAACAGGATTGGGGCCAAAGGCAGCAAAGAATTTGTGTTTTTTATCACTATAAAAGAGTTGTGATTGAAGATCTCAAACTTTAGGCTAGTAAAGAGATACTTCAAAGCTAAATGGTTGAAAAAGAGGGGGACTGGATGGGAACAGGGGGTGGAAAGACACGGTTCAGCTGTGAGAGAAAAAACAAAACTACAGTGTCGTGGTCTGAATTATTCTACAGCATGTAAAATTAATTTTTCTGACAATTATGTTCTCTTTTAGATTTCTGAGTGAAGATGAATTTAGCAGAGATTTGCGATAATGCCAAAAAAGGAAGAGAATATGCCCTTCTTGGGAATTATGACTCTTCTATGGTGTATTACCAGGGTGTCATCCAGCAAATCCAGAGACATTGCCAGTCGATCAGAGATCCAGCAATTAAGGGCAAATGGCAACAGGTAGGGTGAAATAAGGTTGCCTTTGTTCTATTACTTGATATTTGAAGAACACACTGTACTTCCCAAACCTTTTAAGATATACAGGAAGTATATTTCAGTGACGTTTACAACATTTCTTTTACAATATTGTGTTGATATTTATGGGAAAATATTTTTTTGTTTCATGTTCGGAAGGAATTATTTGTTTCTAATTGAATCAAATTTTTTGTTGTTTTAACGTAGGATGTCTGGCTAATTGCTGGTCTGTTTGTGTGTGGTTGCATACTTTGGAATAACTGTTCTGCTGAGGACTCCCTTTTGCTGTTTTATCTTTTCACCATCTAATGTCCAGTAAACTAAGATGTGAGTGGATGGGCTAGCATCACTATAATGGTTGTCTGAGTAGCAGTTAATTATAATGCTACAGCGTGCAAATTTGGATCAGTTTTCTAAAACTGAAAATAATACTCTCAGCCTGAGTCTTGCACACGTGTGTCTCTGCGAAGCAGAGTACTGTTGAAGCCAAGGAAGTAATCCACAGGTGAAATGTAAGAACCCTCATTTAGCACTTTCAGTATTTAAGTCTTCCTTACATTTTGTGATCCCATTGTTCATTGTACAAAATGTGTTCCATCAAAAAAAAAAACCATTGGAGGATAAACATATAAAGGTGTATTCCAGAGTAAAGAATTCATGTTGCATAAATATTAGGTTTTGAAAGAAGAACATAGCTCCTGTCAAACATAATTTTGCAGTAAGTAGTTGAGGAGATGATTCCAGTAAGAGTTTTTCTGAATATCGTATTTTTAAATGATGTGACTTAAAAACAGAAGCAGATTTTTCATTTTTATTGCAGCGGGTGCTTTGGTTATGGTTTTGTGCTTGAAACAGCTGACACTAACTTAGAGTATTTTACGTACGGATAGCTACAACACTGTTAGCAATCATTTTGTAATGACTACTGTTCATAGGTGTTTATCATAGAACTGTAGAGGTCTGTCTGCTTATTAAGAGCTTGTCTGCAAAGCACGTGCCTGTACAAGCAGCAGTGATAGTGCTTAGCTTTCCTGGTGATGTAATAAGCTGAATGTTGTGTAGGAGATATTGACATTCAGGTATTTGTATTCAAGCTCTTCCCCACCCCAGGGCATGCTGATACAAGGTGTTCGTGCCCCGTGCGTGTCCTTAGTTCCTTCCAAACTTGTAGCTGACGTGAAGGTAGAGCGTGAGGCTTTTCTTGTTCTGCAGCTGTATCACTGCATTGCCTTCACCTCTAGTATTCAGTGTTTCCCCCGACGACATTGATTCTTCCATTAAACTTTTAACAGCTCATATCTTGTGAAGGTTGCTTGAAGCCTCATGATGTTATGTGTTGTTTGAACTGCTTCAGAGAAGCCTGTGCACCATGGAATGCCTGCTGTGCATTGGAGACAAGCCTCAAGTAAAAAAGGACCATTGACACAGTTTCCAGGATTATTCCCTAGGGAAGGCAGCTGGCTCCTTAGCAGAGGATCTGAAGTTGGCACCTTCTCGGAAATTATCCCTTTTAGGTAAAAACAGAATGGCCCCTGAGAGTGTCCCATAAATGCTTTAGAGAACTGTCCTCAGACAGATCAGCAGCAGGTGGGGTAGGGTCTGTCACGCTGTGCGCTCGTGTTAATTCTGAGACTTCCCAACACAGCGGTGGCAGATGAGCTTTGTCAGAATATTGCTTTGCCATTACTGGGGCCAGTCTCGGCTCAGGGACAAGGAACAAAAAGTAAGAAGTGTGATTAAAAAAAAAGAAGTGCTTCATCCCCGGGCTGTTTTCCTTCTCATTAATTTATGGGACTACCTGTAACACTAGGAGCAAAATGATAATAGCCCTGAGAGCAAATGATGCAGCCCTGGAACCACTGGCTTTTCCATACCTGCACCTGAATGGTTTGGTGAGACCTACAGAGGTAGACCTGCTTTCTTACCCACTCTTGATAAATAATTGTGCGTTCTCACTCCTTGAGACAGACTAAGAGGGAGTTTGATGATCTGGATGTTAGCACTGCTTTCCAACTCTAACAGCAGCTATGTCCAGACTGTCAGTCACATTCAGTAGCTGTCTGACAGACAGCCTGTTCTGAAAATAATTAAACCAATAGTTGGATCACAAGAAACACTCATTCACAATATTAAAATAATATTTAGATATTCTTTTTAGATCGTTCTCATGTAAGACTTATGCCATAAACATCAAGTAAGTTTAGCAAAATTCAGGTCTAACCCACTTGGTACCTGTAATGTGCAGAAGCAAAAGATTCCCGCACCTATATGCTTCTTGCAAGTGGCACAAGAAGCAAAGCAACCCTTAGGTCATGGTTAAGGGATGAATACAATTGATTTTTACCTGATATTCTGTCTTCTCTGGCATATGGAACTAGCATGTTCTTTAGGTTCTTCAGTTTCTCCATCCTCTGAGGAATCCGAGGATAATACCACTCGTACCTTTTGGAGGAGGAGTTCTCTAGCAGACACTGCGTAGGTAGAGCTCTTACTGTTGGGAGCGGTCCACAGTGTGAATGCCCAAGTCCATAAGTGCTCGAAGGAGAAGATTGTTACTTAAACCAGTTCTTCTCTGAGATGTACAGTCTTGAACCTCCTGAAGGATTCCTGGAACACTGACACTGAGGGGATCTGGCAGTATGAAGCATGCCCTTCCTTTCTGTACATTTGAGCGCAGTGCACGGGCAGGGTGTTTGTCCTACTGGTACTTCTGAGGCAGTGAACTCAGTTTCAGGTGTTTGCATGCATGTTTCCTCGTAAAATAGGAATGTTCATATGAGTAACATCTCAAAAAATAGTTACAGCCGTGGCTCTGCAGCTGACCAGCCTGTTACATGCACCATTGTTCTCCCTATTTGGTCACTTCTCAACAGTGGGTTCTCCATCCTGAATAGGTACCTCATGCTAGGTGGATCTGTTTTGTTGCCGTGTGTACTACATGGGATTTTTCCAGCAGTTCATTGAGCAATGTAGAGCAGAGGTGAACCAGAAGTAGTTGGGAATTTGGGTCAGACTCCCAAACACTCGTGATCTACCTCTCTTTGCTTAGGTGTCATTGTTTTCAAATTTTTACAGGTTGGTCTGGACAGAATGATATTCTGTGCAAGTATTTGGTGGCTTGTATTTCATGTTGCACAATCAGACAGCTTCAGCTTTGCAGCTGAGCACCCTGATTTCAAGGGTTCCTTGTGCTTGGTGCTGATGGTTAGGAAGAGGAGGAATCTGAACATGTATTTTTGGCTCCCCTGGGAACAACTGACTGGCTCAGTTCCACTTGATGTAATCCTGCTTCTGGGACTTCAAAATCAGTGCTGACTAGGGGAGAAGGATTGCCAGTCTGGCACAGTCTGCAGAAATTCCGAAGGGCAAAAGATGCATCCTGGAGGGTCCACCAAAGCAGCAGTGTGACAGCGTAAGAATTCCTCTGACTTTGTGGAAAAATCATTGTTGTTGATCATCTGGTGACTAGGTTGGCTTCGGGATGTCAAGGGTGACCCGCTCTTGAGACCCTTATTTGTTTTGCCTCCAGGGAGTTCCCAGCTTGCCCTTGAGCAGCTGAGTGTAGCTTCATTCTTATCCTCACTCCTAGGCCTCTGAGCTCATTTGAAAAAGGAAAAGCTACTTCTTTGTTGTGCTTTGAGGTTTGGCTGACATGTAGGCGCATTCATCCATGTAAATGCAGGCTGGGACTGGTAAGATTCAAAATCAGAAGGAACTCGGGTCTTTTTCTACTTAACAGCAATACAAGGTAGGTTTACTCTCATGACCGCTACTGTGAACTTTACTTGTGTTGACATTCCCCCTGTTTATTCTGAGAGAATTTCTTGGCTGTTGCAGTCTTTTTACTAGACAGCTGGCTTGTAGGAAAGAGCTGCTTCAGTGACAGTTCAGCAGCTGCAGAATGACAGCAGAGCGTGCCCCCAGGAGATAGTACCGGCTTACGACAAGGCCAGCGGCTGTCGAGCAAAACCTGCTGCGTGTTATAACCGTGTGCTCTGTGTTGCACAATATCTGAGAGCGCAGGAGCCTCAGCCAGAGCTGAAGCAGGAGTTCAATGATTCTCAGAGCGCTTGGAGCAGCCAGCAAGGCACCCTTACTGACCACAGTCACTGGAGCAGGTGATTAGGTGCACTGTATTCTTGCTTAAAGAGTAAAGGATGATTTTTACTTTTTTAAAATTTTAATCCCATTTCAGTCAATCTGTGCTTATGTTGTTTTTACTTCATGCCTGTTTTATTAACACTTTGTAGGTTACTTCATGAGTAATCAAGGAATATTCTGCAGGTCACTCATGAAGAACTGTGGTTACAGGAGCTAGACTTAGACTCCATGGGATCAGACTGGGTTACAGGGCGTCTGTTTTGGGTATGATTTGGGGGTTTCTTATTTTCGCTTTTTTAAAAAGGTGCTTGTTGAATAACTAATTGCAGGCAGTAATTTCAGGTTTGGAAAACACTTTTACATTAACTTGATTGGTTTTGTTCCGGCATGATTGTTATGGGTTTGCGTGGCAAGGTTTTGGTAGCAGGGGGACTGCAGGGGTGGCTTCTGTGAGAAGCTGCGAGAAGCTTCCCCCATGTCTGA